GCAGTCGACGCAGTACCAAGGGGGGGAGACACACGAGCACGTAGAGCAGCAGCCTCACCAGCACCTGGGGTAGCCGACACGTGAGTACCTGGAGCGGCAGACGCACTGGCCCTAATGCCCGGGTCGGGCGGCACACACAAGTACTCAGCACCCTCTCCACTAGTAGACATCACATACATGGCAGATAGAATAGCATCAAAGTCTAGAGCATAGATATCAATCCCCTTCTTCAGGAGATCAAGCCAGCGGGGCAGCTCGGTGGCCTGAGGGAACTGAACACGCCAAGCGTCGTCGAGACGAGAGAAGCAGCGCTGTGTGGCGTGCGGTCGTCCACACTGCTGACCAGTGCGGTCACCAGTGCGAATGACGTACGTGCAGCTAAGACCACCCCCACCCCCGTGCTGAGAGTACCACTCACGGACCTCCTGGGGCGAGAGAGTGTGCTGCTGGCCCTGGCCACCGCCAGCGCCTCCACGGCCACCACCACCGCTGCCACCTCCTCGACCACCCCAACCCCTGCCGCCGCCTCGTCCACCGCCACCCCAACCGCCGCCTCCACTCCTGCCACCTCCCCCGCCGCTGCCGCCACCACCCCCACCGCTACCACTCGCCCCTCCAGCCGAGCCACCACCCCCACTGCCTCCACCGCCCCCACCGCCGCCTCCCCCGCCGTCACCGCCACTACCCTTGCCCCCTTTGCCCTTGCCGCTGCGGCGTCCGCTCGAGGCAGACGCAGCGCCGACCTTCTCAGTACCAAGAAGGTCGACAGCAGCAGCAGAGGCGACAGAGGGAAGAAGGGGGGAAGGAGAACACCCCTCAAAGAACGGGGTACGGGGGTCGCCACGAGAGGCACCTACAGCGACTATGCTAGCCTCAGCTGCAAGTAGCTCCTTCTCGAGGAGGGCAATGGTGAGCTCAGTGGGGCAACGAGCTAGGAAGTGGTCCCTGACAGCACGCAGTGTGTCAGGGAGGCGGGTGACTAGGTGATAGAGAGTGAGCCAGAGTGGAGGGGGGTGCGTGGCAAGGAACTCAGCAGGCATGGCGGCACGGAAGCGGGCCTCACTAGTACGGAGGTGCGTGATGAGGTCAGCGACTGTGTGAAAGGAGGCCAGGTCGGGAAACAGGTAGGGGAGGGAGAGACGGCCTAGTGCGGCAGAGGCAGGTGAGGAGTAGCGAGCAACTACAGCTGTGTACAGTGCCGGTGCAGTCTTGTGCTGACCAAAGTGCTCGCGTTCGTCTATCGGCAGGGAGTTGCGAATGGCGAAGCGAGCGTGGGCATCACGAGTCTGCCACTGTGAGCGAGCAGTGCTGTCAGCAGTAGCAGCAGGGGCAGTGACAAGGCCTAGGGCATGATCGTACAGTGAGATGTCATCCTTGGCTGTGAGCTGTAGGTAGAGGTGCAGGTCATCGAGCCAGGTGTCAAACTTCACAGGGCGGCCCTCAGCATCGAACACGAGAACCTGTGGGCTAGCCATAGGAACAGTAGAAATAGCAGCAGTAGCGGTAGGAGAAGCAGGTAGGACGAACCAGGTAGGGCAGGGCGGCGCGGCTCGGTTCAGGTCGGGTCGCGGCTCGGCTGGGTGGCGCGGCTCGGCTCGGGGCGCGCGGCTCGGCTCAGGTCACGGCGGGGACGGGCCGCCCGCTCTCCCTCTTGTGCTGCGGCGGGAACGGGCCGCCCGGGGCCTCTGGGTGGTGGGCACGGGTCGGCGAGGTAGGCACGGGGCCGGTTGGGGCCCTAGAGGGGCGAGCGCGGGGCCGATCGGGGCCTGAGCGGGGCTAGTGCGGGGCCAAACGGGGCCTTGACGGGGCTAGCGCGGGGCCGACGGGGCCTGAAACGGGGCCGAAGGGGCCTGAAACGGGGCTAGCGCGGGCCCGATCGGGGCCTGAATGGGGCTAGCGCGGGGCCGACGGGGCCTGAGAGGGGCTAGCGCGGGGCCTACGGGGCCTGAAACGGGGCTAGCGCGGGCCGACGGGGCCTGAAACGGGGCTAGCGCGGGCCGACGGGGCCTGAGAGGGGCTAGCGCGGGGCCGACGGGGCCTGAAACGGGGCCGACGGGGCCTGAAACGGGGCTAGCGCGGGCCGACGGGGCCTGAGAGGGGCTAGCGCGGCGCCGACGGGGCCTGAAACGGGGCCGACGGGGCCTAAACGGGGCTAGCGCGGGGCCTGAACGGGGCCTTAAAGGGGGGCCGACGGGGCCTGAACTGGGCTAGCGCGGGGCCGTCAAGAGGGGCCTCTAGGGGCGTGACACGCCGAGGCGCCCTAGGGCACGGGTAGGTAGGTAGGTAGGTAGTTACGTAGTGGTGGGCCCTTAGAAAATTTCGGTCCTAGGAAGGACCTGCTCTATACCATGTTGGAATCACTGAACAGGAATGAATGAACTAGCAATGAAAAGAGTACAAGTACCTAACCCTAGAATTGTGTACCCCCTATAGGCTAACCCACTGTAGCCTAAACTAACACAACATATATAATGTTTGACACAATATTACAGTTGGACATTGAAAATGCTTTCAACTCGGTCGAACGCGGGAGTTTCCTGTCTACTCTGCTATGGACCGCCGGACTGAGCTCGCTACTACCGTTTGCAAGGACTCTTTACGGTGCACCGTCGAAGCTACTACTGGACAGAGGCTTCACCGCCAGCTCTATCGACAGCGCCCGGGGCGTTAGGCAAGGAGACCCGCTCGGCCCCATGCTGTTCGCGGCAGCCATACAACCGACCCTGCTGGAGGCGGCGGTAGCAGTCCCGGGCGTGACAGTGATGGCGTACGCAGATGACATCACTGTCATCGGGCAGCCGGCGGCAGCGACAAGGGCATTTACTATGATCCTGTAGGGGCTCGCTGGACTGGGGCTGCGGTGCAATCTCGCGAAGTCATCGGCTTGGAGCCCCACGGGAAACACTACAGACTTACCGGACGGATTGGCGGCAGCAGTGGACAGGGTGAAGGTCCTCGGGAGCCCGATAGGCACGGAAGCGTACTGCAGACGCACGCTGAGAGCATCGCTGGAACGGATAGCCCTTCCGCTTAGCCTAGTCAGCAAGCTGCACCCACAACACGCGATGCTGCTCCTGTCGCGATGCATCTCGCGCAGGATCAGTTACCTCCTGCGCACAACGCCGGCGGACGTCCTCCCCGTCCGAGAATGGAGGGGGTGGAGCGAGAGGCTGCTGTGGACGGCACTAAGGGCGGCCAACATCAACGCTCCCTCAAAGGAGCTGGAACAAAGCCTGGTGTGGAGGCAGGCAACGCTACCCATCGCGCTGGGCAGTGTGGGGCTGATAGACCCGCTGTCGGAGGCGCCGGCGGCATACCTCGCGTCACTAAGGGCAGCGCAGTTGCTGCTACAGCAAATGCCGCCCTCGCCGAACGACCAGCTGTTGCAGGTGGCGGCACTGGTGTCACCACTGGGGGACGGACTGGCAGGGAGGGGAGGAGAGGCAATTCGGGACCTGAGGACCAGACTCCCCGAGGAAGCATGCGAGCTGCTAGGAGAGGCGGGAGACAGCAGGGGAGGACGGGGTCGCCTGCAGGAGCAGCTGTCGCGCCACATAAACCTGAATCGGGCGGCGAAGCTGGTGGGCGACACGCGGATGGACAAGCCTGGAGAGGACAATGGGCATGTGGTCCGGTTGATTAGCCTGCAGGGGGTAGGCGCGGGGGACTGGCTACATGCAATCCCCACGCGGGCAGATCTTACGTTCTCGCCGGGCCAGTTTGCTTTGGCCCTGGGGTTCCGCTTGGGACTGTCGCTGCCGGTGACTGAGAACTGCCCGTGCCAAGGGGAGCGGGGGGAGATAGGGGACCTAAGCTTGCCGAACCACCTGCTGCGGTGCGGGGAAGGGAAGGAGAGGACAAACACACACAACAACCTCGTGTATGCGGTGCTCCGCATGGCCAGGGAGGCGGACTACCTTACCTTGTATGAGACCACGGTCTACTCGCAACCTATCAACCCCAAGCGAGCGGACCTGGCCATCAAGGACAGGGAGTCCGCCGAGACGTATGTGACGGACGTCACGGTGGCCAACCCTGTCCTGCAGCGCCGAGACACGAAGGCAGTAAAACCGCCAGGATGGGCGGCGGAGGACGCGGCGAGAACGAAGAGGGGATTATATGAGGGGCGGCCGGATTACGTGGGGGTGTTTGGACTGGCGGTGGAAACGTACGGGGCCCTGGCACGCGACACACAACGGTTTCTCCGGCTCTTGGGCAGACATGCGGCTAAAAAGAAGTTTAGGCAAGGGAGGCTTACAACAGTAGCCTCCAAACTGACAGCTCACTACCGCCAGCGCTGGTCGGTAGCGCTGCAGAGGAACAGGCAAACACTTTCCTGGCCAAATCTAACCGGGCTATAGAGAGTGCCTACCCCCAGGTGGCGGCTGACCCATGGGAGCCCCGCCTGGGGGTCCTATGCCAAGTCATTGAGGATGACTTGGACTGGGGCCCGCCCCTAGACGTGTGAGGGGCGGGACAGAGGGGGCAGCCACGGCAGTAGGTGACTCTCTCCCACTGGTGGGCGTGCCTCGGGGTCATAAGTAGTATCTGACCGTGTTGTTGGCAGAAGGCTAGAGGCTTGCTTTGCTGTTTTCTCTATGCATTGCCTGTACCCTATATAATATTAATGAAGGACCGCTTGAGAGAGAGAGAGAGAGAGAGAGAGAGAGAGAGAGAGAGAGAGAGAGAGAGAGAGAGAGAGAGAGCGAGAGAGAGACACCTAGCCTCTGCCCTCTCCCTTTGCCCTCTGCCCTCTCCTCTGTGAGCTACTTAAGAGGCCTTCCTGGCCTCTTCTCCTCATTGTTGGGTGGGTTCAGATTTTTTCGCTCGCGCCGGCCGCCTTCGGCGGCCGACGCTCGAGAGCGCGGCCTTCGGCCGCGCGTGAGGGGACGACAAAGGAACACGCACAAGAGTGACTATAAGCAACGGCATACAAGCGATCACATTCCCTACGTCAGCCTAGACAAGTGAAGCGCCCATGGGGAAACCGGAGCCCGCGCCTACATGCGGTGCGCTCCAAGGGCGTGAAGAACGCCCGTCAGGGAGCGCCACAGCTCCCGGACCACAAGCGTGCTTGCGCCGATCGCCGCGGCTCCAGATCCAGCACGCAAGTGCCGCCTCAGGCCCCGGACAGCCTCGTCAAGCTGTCCCGCAGCAGCAGCGCCTCCCTCCGCGGGCGCAGCCAGCACGGGCGCCAGGAGCACCGCGAGCTGGTCTGCCGCGTCCAGGCAGGTGTCACGCTAGCGGCCACGGAATGACTCAGGAGGGATTACGGGGAGAGATGAATGTGCAACCACCTGAATCAGCAGCAGCGCGTGAAGACTCTCAGCGAGGCGATGGAGTTGGCCGAGTGTCGCCTCCGGAACACGAGTCTGCGGAGGCTGAAGCGCCTCCGCCAGGATCAGGAGCGGCTGATCCTCATCAGCGGGATGCGAATACTGCGTCGCAAACGCGACGCCACCAGCGGCCGCAAATTCCACCCCCGCAACAGGCGGAACCGGCGACAAGCGAAGACGCGCTCCAGAGGCGGGCGCGGACGCAGCAGGAGCAGGAGCCGTTGGGATGTGAACCTGAGGAGGGGGTGCAGCGACAGGCGGTGGACTCGACGGGAGCACAGGCTGGCGTGGAGCCTCTTGGGCCGGCGAGGCGCGCATCGAACTGCTCTGGCTCTGCGACGCCCTCTCCTCACGTACCGCCCTCGACACTTCCCGCTGAAGATCTGCCATCGTCACCGGCGGGCGGTACCCCCCACCACCACCGCGCCCGTGGGGACCCCTCCAGTCCCCCTGACCACCGGGGCGAGCAGGCCAGTGAGGCTGCTGCTGGAATCGCCGCGGAGAATCACGACGGCGACGAGACGACTTGCGATCCTGGTGGGGCGAGGGGGAATGAGGGCGAGACGGTCGGCGGTCAGGCGACGGGAGACGTAACGGCTGACCTGCCGGGGCCAACGGCGCCACAGCAGGCACGGATTGCCCCGCCGCTGAGGGCGCAACCGACGGAGCCGGGCCGCCAGTGGTGGCGGACGCCGCTTTTGTCGACGGAACAGAAGCCGGTACAGGCGCGTCGCTGACGGAAGCAGGCAGTGCAACGGGCGCGCGAGGGACAAGAACTGGGGGATCAGCAACATCCCCAGCAGGAGCAGGCACCAACGGCTCGACGAAGAGGGCCAGGGGAACAGGAGCAGCCGGCGGAGCGGACGGAGCAGCCGCAGGAACAGACGGGCCAGCCCCCGACACGGCAAGGGGATCCGCGGGTGCGTGGGGAAGAGTCTTTTCAGCGACTGTTGTCGAGGGCGTCGGAGCCGGCGGTACAGGGGGCTCCGTCGGCATGGTCGCCTTTCCGGGCCCCGACTGAGGCTGGGCGACCACAGCCGACCAGGCGGCAGCGCGCACTGGCGATGGCTCAGATGCACCAGCAATCACCATCTGGAGAGCGGGGAGGCAGCGGGGCCAGGAGGCAGGTTACGAGCGGGACAGGCGGAGGTCCGGAAAACGGGTATCAAGCAGCGGGGCGTAGGGCTTTAACGGCTCTGGAGGCAACTAATGAGGATGACGAGTTAAGGGACCCATCTTATAGGGAAGAATCCCTCCCTCCAAGCGAAGACGAGGGGATCGAGGACGAAGGCAGTACAAGGGAGGCAGCGGGAAGAGGAGTAGCGAGGGTAGGGCTCTCGGCCACGCAAGCAGCACAGGCGGATCAGCGACCGTCCGATGTCAATCGAACGGGTGAAATTCCAACCCTAATCCTGCCAGGGCGGACGGGCCGCGCTCGACGAAATCGGATCGCTACTACCAATGTCGCGACGCGCCAAACCACTCCGACTCCCCGCTATTTTCCCCTGACGAACTGGCGAAGCGAGCAGACCTGTTCGCAACCATCTCGAGCTGGGACATCGCGGCACTCTGTGACAGTCGCCAGCCTTCGCTGATACGCCGTTTACCGCCTAATCTGTGCCAACTGTTCTCGCTGGCGCTACTGACACCGTTACTCCACCTATCGTGAAACCCTGAATCCGAGGAGGGTTGGCGCCTGTTGCTGTTCCTCCCGCGCCTAACACTTCGCCAGACCTCGCCACAACGACCGAACTGGCCGGGGGTCAAAGCCCGGCTCCGAGCCTTTCAGCGCGGCGAATGGGGGCAGCTGTACCAGAACGAGGTCGACGCGGTCAACACACCCCCACCGCCACGACACCAGCCTGACACGACCGGAGTCATCAGCCGAGCCGAGGGCCTGGCGAAACGTGGCAGCCTACGCAGGGCCGTGCTGGCCCTGGAGTCAACACCCGTCTGCACCCCGAGCCAGGAAATATTGGAAGAGCTGCGTTAGAAGCACCCGCCAGCAGTACCCGAAGCAGTGACCTGGCCCGAGCCACCAGAGTCAAAACTGTCCATCACCCATGCTGAGTTCGCCAAGATTCTTGGAAGGTGCGAGAACGGGGTGGGGGCCGGACCTTCAGGTACGACATTTGAGCACCTACGCGACGCGGCGATCACCAACGGAATGGTTAGCACCCATCTGCACGCCTTGGTCAATACCATGCTCGGAGGGAATTTGCCAGGCCCGGTCGCAAAAATCCTGACTGCGTCACGGCTCATAGCTCTGGCCAAGCCTGGGGGAGGAGCCCGGGCAATCGCGATAGGCGAATGTTTGACAAGGCTGACAGCCAAGGCAGCCCTGATAGCCATGGGAGAAGCTGCCCGCGAACATTTCCTGCCAATTCAGTACGGCGTGGCAGTGCCAGGTGGAGCAGAGGCAGTAATACACGCAGCCAGGGCATTCTTGGATGCCCGTCCCGACAGCCTGGTCCTCCAAGCCGATATTTCGAATGCATTCAACAGCATTTCGCGACGTGCCATCGCCACTGCGTTACAGGAGCCCGGACTCTCGCCACTACAGCCATTTGTAAAACTGACTTACGGTAACCCGTCGCAGCTGTTCCTCGACACTAATTTCAACTGCGAACCGCTGCAAAGTGAACGGGGCGTTCGGCAGGGAGATCCACTAGGCTCGTTACTGTTTGCAGCGGGAATACACCCCACGCTCTGTGAGATTACAGAGGCACACCCCAACGTGCTCTGCTTGGCGTATGTGGACGATGTCACCTTCCTGGGTGACACTTCGTGCACTGTAGCAGCTTTCACAGACTTCACAGCCAAGCTGGCACGCCTGGGCCTGACGCATAATCCGCAGAAATGTGCGGCCTGGAGCTCGATCACAGTCACACAAGCACAACTCCCACCCGGGGTGCCGGTTTCAAAGGACGGGGTACGGCTCCTGGGTAGCTACGTGGGGACGGACGCCGGAGCAGCTAAGTTCCTAACCGAACAGCTAGCTGAGATGACAAAGCCGCTGCCACTAATAGAACGACCTGACCCCCAAGTAGCCGCGCTGCTACTCACGCGATGCATTTCTAGACGAGTAGCCTACCTCATTAGAACGACACCGCTCCACCTACTCCCCCGCGACACCTGGAGCCAGTGGGGTCAGGACCTACTCACTACCTTACTCACCTCCTGCGACATCCGCATGCCAACTTGCCGCACTGAGCAAGCGCGTGTGTGGGAGCAGGCGTCGCTGCCCACATCGCTGGGTGGCATCGGCATTACAGACCCGCTCGTTGAAGGGATCTACGGTTTCACAGCGAGTTTCACTCAAGCGGCGCTGTTCTTGTCCTCCCTGGCGCTAGCACCGGAGAATGCTTTGACGATCGCTCAGAACCACATGCTGCTCCCAAGAGACGACAGCACGCCGATGCATTCTTGGCTCAAGGAGTGCGAAGCGGCTCTGCCACTAGACGCGTGCGAGATCCTGGAGAAGGAGCGGCTGGAGCGATCGGATATTAGGCTACAACATGTGCTCGGGCTAAAGGTGCACGGAAGCAGATACGCTGTACAGGTCCAGGCAACCAGGCGCATGCGGCTGAACCCACTCTCAGGCCACACGCAGCGTATGTTTTTGCTGACAGGGTATGGCACCGGCGATTGGCTGACCGCGATCCCCATTGAACCCACCAGACGGGGCGGGGGACTGGCTCCACGCCATCCCAACGCGGGCGGATCTCACATTCTCACCAGGGCAATACGCCTTGGCCCTTGGCTTCCGGTTGGGCCTGACCCTGCCGGTGACCAACAGCTGCCCATGTCAGGGGGAGAGGGGGGAGATAGGAGATCTGAGCCTACCCAACCACCTGCTGCGGTGTGGGGAGGGGAAAGACCGGACGAACACACATAACACACTCGTATATGCGGCGCTGCGCATGGCACGGGAGGCTGACTATTTGACCCTGTACGAGACCACGACCTACTCGCAACTAGTCAACCCCAAGCGAGCGGACTTGGCCTTCAAGGACAGAGAGTCAGCTGAAACGTGGGTCACGGACGTGACAGTAACCGACCCGGTCTTGCAGCGGCATTACACCAGGGCGGTGAAGCCGCCGGGGTGGGCGGCGGAGGACGGTGCAAGGGGGAAGAGGGGGTTGTACGAGGGGCGCCCGGACTATGTGGGAGTGTTGGGGCTGGCGGTGGAGACGTATGGGGCCCTGGCAAGGGATACGCAGCGGTTCCTGAGAATGCTGGGCACACAGGCGACTAAAAAGAAGTACCGGCAGGGGAGGCTAACCGCGGTAGCCTCCAAGCTGACGGCGCACTACCGACAGCGATGGTCGGTAACGTTGCAGCGAAGCCAAGCAAACACATTCCTGGCGAAGTCAAACAGAGCCACGGAGATGGCATACCCCCAGGTGGCGACCGTCCCCTGGGAGCCCCGCTTGGGCGACCTCTGGCAGGTCATAGAAGACGACCTGGAGTGGGGACCACCCCTGGACATGTGAGGGGTGGGGCAGAGGTTACCCCACACGCTGGGGGTCTGAGCCTCTGCGGCTGCATTGTGGTCACCCAGGCTTTTGGGTGGTGCCGGTCCAAGGGACGTGCGGGATGTGCATGCGTAGGATTACTGGTGGTGTGCGGTTGGCACTTTGTCATGGCTAGCTTGGCTGCTTTATATGTGCATGGCCTGTACCCTATATAATATTAATGAAGGACCGCTTGAGAGAGAGAGAGAGAGAGAGAGAGAGAGAGAGAGAGAGAGAGAGAGAGAGAGAGAGAGAGGACTTAGCCTCTGCCTCTAGCCTCTGCCCCTGCCCTCTGGCTATATAAGGGGCCCGACTGGCCATTCCTCTCCCATTAGTTCATTTCGTTCCAGTTTTTAGCGGCATGGAGAGAGCGAGAGAGAGAGAGAGGACTTAGCCTCTGCCTCTAGCCTCTGCCCCTGCCCTCTGGCTATATAAGGGGCCCAACTGGCCATTCCTCTCCCATTAGTTCATTTCGTTCCAGTTTTTAGCGGGCATTGGAGGACGCACGGATGTGTCAGAACGCGGGAATAGGTAGTCGCGAAAGTCCCCTGCTGGCCGCGGCCAGCGCGCGGACACGAGGGGGTCGAGGCGGAGGTCGCGGACGTGGCAGGGGCACTCGGGAAGGAGGTCCGGAGAATGCGTTCCAGGCAGCAGCAAGAAGGGCTTTAAACGATTTAGTTAGAACTAATGAAGAAGGCGAATTATCGGGTAGCATTTATGCGGCGGAGGACGAAGAAGCAGACTCACCTTCAAATTCGAATGCCTCGGAGGAGGCCCAGTCACAAACTCCAGCTCGGGGGAGAATCGGCCCAACCCATGCCCGAGGCGCGTCTACAAATTTCACAAACACACCCACCCAGCCGCGACCCTCACCACAAATTCAAACCGCTTCCCGCCGCCCTGCCACCACTGCCAACCATCCCGCCCAACCAAACCTGACATCGCCACCTGCAAATGTACCGCAAACATCAGCGAGGGGTAACCAACAGCAACTACAACCCCCTCCCCAAAAGTCGCCCGAAGCCCTCGCCAGGGACGACACACTATTCGCGAATGTCAGGACCTGGAATCTGGATAAGCTGCGCGATAGTCACAACGCTCCGCTGGCACGACGCCTGCCGGAAAAACTGCGCCTACTTTTCGCTATGGTAATGCTGACACCACTGCTACGACTAGCACACGACTCAGACTCCATCCCTGCCTGGACGATTCTGCTGTTTGCGGCTCGCCTGACGATGCGTCAGCATTCGCCGAGGCACCCTGACTGGAAGGCGACCAGGGAAAGATTGTGTAAATTCCTGCGAGGGGAATGGGAGGCATTGTACCAGGAGACGGTTGATTCGTTGGATTCCCCTCCCCCTCCCAGACACCAGCCAGACGACCTGAGGATAATATCCAGGGCAGAGGGTTTGGCGCGACGTGGCAGCTTACGGAGAGCAGTCATGGCACTGGAAGCCACCCCAGTCAGCAAGCCCTCACCTGCGGTTTTAGAATCCCTCCGCGCCAAGCACCCTAGTGCCCCGCACTCCGACGCACCCTGGCCCCAGCCCGACCCAGACACTTACCTGGCAGTAT